TTATAATATATGTCTTCAGAGGTGTTATCTTGCGCGCTCGTAGTATAGATTTACACCAAATCGGTGTTCACACAGCTGCATCTATTTATATATACATGTTATATATATATATATATATATATATATATATATATATATATATATATATATATATATATATATATATATATATATATATATATATTTATATTTATTAAATGAAATTTACTTGCCTTTTGATAGTATGTGTTCTTTTTTCCTCTTTTGTTGGATTATTTTTTTCTGAGACTTTGCACTCGATGGTTGAGGCCGCTACTATAATAAGCATAAATATCAGTGGCGGAAATTCACTTTATCGGGTGGGGGCAATGCCTCCTAAATTTCCGACAAAACTTTCAAATTTCCGACATACCCCCCCCCCCCATTTGCACTCGAAAAGACTGTTTTTAGCCCTCTTGTGTACGGGGAGCGGCCGTCCCACCGATTTCCGCCACTGTGCATAATACATGATAAAGGCAAACGACTTCCGATCGTCGTCCGTCGGCACAAGCACTTCCAATCGACAATTCTCCCACTGAAATCGCTTTATTCTCTAAAACAATTCGCCAGCATATAGAACAGACACCGTTCGTCGAAAATACACAGGGACTTCGGCGAGATGTATTTGTTTTGGAGCATTTTTTAACCGAATGGAAATCAAAACCATTTTATATTGAACTTACAAATACCGACGAAAAAACGTTATTTATAGCCATGTAAGAATACAAATTTACAATTACATGTATCGAAATTGTTGTCACATATCATTCACTAAACAAAAATTTGATCATGTCAGTGAATACCAAAACATGCTTTTTTAACTAAGTTATGCTTCCCCTTTTCCCCTTATATTTTAGACAAAAGGGACCTTTACTGGGGGACCAACATAGCTTAATGGATGGGCCAAGCTAGGGGCTGGGGAGGGGGGGGAGGCGACAAGTCCCCAGCAGTCTATGGTATTAAAAGAGGCCCTAAATTGTCGCACTTCATGTCTGATTCCAGGGGTGGATTTAGGGGAATAGCGACGCCCCGTTCACAGAGTACAATACAGAGTTCTCACTTCTGCGGGAAATGTAAGAATTATTCAGGAAAATCTTAAATCGCGGTACCGTTGCGTTTTTGAGTTGTGCTCCTGCTGGTTTTACGTTATATTTATGAAAATATCATTTTTATACAGTAAAATAGTTGTTCTAAAAAACTGTGTTCGGAAATTTTTGTTTATTTTGTCATTCGGCTGATATGACGATTTCTTTGACGACTGCATGCAATATATTTCTGAATTGTTTGAGTGAATTGCAATTGCTCTTTATTATTAAAATATCCAAAGTTTTAAAAAAGCCGAACACCATTTTCAAACTGACGTCTTTAGCTATGTGCTGTGAAAATTTGAGAAAAATTGGATAAAACCCGCAGGAGAACCGACTCGTTTGAAAATCCATAATTACCGTAAAATTCTTCGGGAGAAAATTGAACTTGAATATTACATTTTCAATGTTTTTCTTATTGCAGCGAAATAGAAATAACTCTGCGAGTTTTCAACATTTTTCGCCTTTTAAACTTTGTCAGATAGCAGAACGTACGAGTCTAATGCTTTCATGGAAACCAATAAAAAAATTTAGGCAAAATTAACACTCAAAGGTGTTCTGTAACCTTAATATGGAAAATAGTAGCTAATTAATTAAACTCAAGATTTGAGATAATCGACTTCCAAATTTCGCGTTCTACCGCGGACGTACATGCAGTTTAACTCACAAAGTAATCACTTGTTGGCGTAATATAGTGGCCAGAATAATGTAGGTTGAATTATAAACCTTTTATTGCGTTTATACTGAAGTTTTGGCGTCATGCATGCTGTCAAACATTGACTCGTCGTATACGAATAAATAGCCGAATGTTTCACCTGCCGCGATTCACAAAGCTTCCGCACGTATATACATGACACGAGCAGCTATAACTAGCCAGAAAAAAGCTTAAAGGGTAATGGCAATAAAAAATTTTATTGCTTTATCTGAAAGAGCATGAAAAAATAAGTCGATTGGCCGTTTACTGCTTTATTCTATCTCATCTGGTTCCGAAGTTATACGCAAAAATGTGCAAAATATAAATTGCTGATTCAGCACAACGTGTGACGTCATTGATAAGGTAAGTATGTTTAATGAATAGTAAACTGAAGCATAGCTCAGTTATTATTGGCTCAAATCAAATGACGTTTTGCATACAGATAGTACATGATGAGGCGCATGGGCAAATACTTCTAATTTTGTTGTCAAGGCAACGCAGTCGTTCCCAGGCCCCTTACACTGATTTTGAATAACTAGTTGCATTTATCTATGTGTATGTCATTTTCGAATTATTATCATGCAAGTAAACTTTTGGCATGCATAGGTATGGTAACATACTTCTGATATTATTTTTTTCTCATAAGTACCATGAATAAAGCTGTTTTATAAAATTGGCGCAAGGGGCCTGGGAACGACATTGTTACATTGGCAACAAAATTAGAAGTGTTATTCAATGCGTCTCATCATGTACAATCAGTATGCAAAATTTCATTTGATTTCGGCCCATAATAACTGAGCTATGCTTCAGTTTAGTATTCATTAAACATACTTACCCAACTAATGACGACACAAGTTGTGCTGAATCAACAACTTATATTTTGCACATTTTTGCGTATAACTTCGGAACTAGATGAGATAGAATAGAGTGAGTTTTTCAAAGACCCCAAAATAGCACGAGTGAAAAACTCACGAGTGCATGTTTATCCAAATTTCACGAGAAACCATGCTATACTTATTAATAATTTACATAAAAATGTTCGAGACAATCGTAGTTTTAACTTACATTTATAGCGAACATTCCACTGGCGAAGTTTACCTGGCTTTGTTATATCACATTATACAACGCTAACAGCTTGAAAATTCCTAGCCTGCGAAAACAGCCTCTACTTTGCTGCTCCTATTAATATAACGTCGCACAAAGAAGAGTCTGCGATTCGAGTGACAACATTCCATACTGATGACGTTGCGCGACCGGATTTTGGTCGCGCGTTATGATTGGTTTATTCTATAATTTGATATAAATTATGCCAACACATGCAAATCGATTTTGAAATTCAAGATGGCCGGATATGTAAATGGATATCCAAATAGAAGAAGACATTTGCATATTATGTTTAAATAATTCAGTACCTAGAAATAGGTTTATCATCAACGGAAAGGACTCGGTGTTAAACACTGCCTCGAAGCTATTCAACAACCTACCGAACAATTGGAAGTATACACTAACGACTCGTTTTAGGAACATTGCCAGTGGGGATATAAATTTCTTGTGCAGGACCTGCCTAAAACTTCTTGAGAAAAGAGACAGAATTTTATCAAATTTAACAGGAGTTGAGAACAAGATCCAAGGACATTTTTCCACCAAGAGATCAAGTGAAACAGATCTTGCGTCTCCATCAAAATTTATCGCACTCAGCGACGATGAGGAAGCGTACATACCTATTCACACATTACAACCCAAAGCACACAGTACTCCAGTCAAAGTTGTTCCAAAAGTTTCGAAAATCAAAAAATCTTTTTCCGAATGCGAAACTGGCGTAAAGGTATGTTCTTGCGGAATTCAGCACATTTTTACATTATATTTTTACCACAATAGTGACACATATAAACATGTGATTATGTATTTATTATTTATAATATAAAGGTCCTCCCTCAGAAAAATATACATTCATATATTTTTTTTAAAACTTTATAGCTTACAGTGAAATGGCCTTCTCAGACCAAAGAACGTACAATTCAACCTGAACTGGAACCCTTAGGCCGAGCCCTCCTTAGAGGGACATGGAAGGAAATTGCGTCAGCTGTATACCGTGTTAAAGAGATTAGATCAGAGCTCATCAAATGCATGTTGAAGCAACTGTCAGTAGAATGCTGTGATATTATTTCATCTAAAAGGCCATCCTTACTGAGAAAAACTACTGCGAGTGATATTCGTAAGCTGTCACTAGCCAATATATGCCACGAAATAAAGGAGCGTGCTCCACTATTGTATTCAGTCATGATGACTACTGCCACTCCTAATAGAAAGAAATATGATGCCACTGAATGGTTGCCAAGTGTTGCTATAGCTGCAGCTGTTCTTTTAAAACAAAGATGTCGAATGGTCAACAGTGTTCAGCTTTTGATCATGACAATAATAAAGTTCTCCGGATTTCAGGTATGTTTAGTATGTTTAACAACATGCATATAACCTGATAGCCAATACTGTAGGTACATACTTGTTAGTAAATATTCTGTTAGATAGTAAATATTCCGTTAGTACATGTTAGTAAATGTTCTGTGGACAGCTGGTAAGTATTTACTTATGAACAGTCAATAATAGTTGTGTCAGAACTATAAAAGAAAGATATGTCAGGTCTTGGCAATGTATAATTGAATCATATCATAAATGTTAACTAACAGACCAATTTTCTCTACATAAAAAACTCGGCAAGGTTCTGATTGCTAAATTCAAAATTACAGTATAATATTAATTAAATAAATGTATTTCTAACCTGGTTCCTGCCTCTTTCCAGTTTTTTCATTACAAGCTCCAAATGTATTGTTCTGTTTGTTCCAAGTGTAGGGGGGAGGGCAAGGGGGGGGCAATTTGCCCCAGGTCCCATGCTTAAAGGAGCAATGTCACCCACACAAACAAGTTTTCCAATTCAATATGACGGATTCTCGAAGCGGCTTCACAAATTATATGCAAAAAATACATAGTTTTGTACCATTGAGCTTGCTGTAGAGGACCACGAGGGGAGTATTTTAGGCACCGAACAATTTCCGAAATTTTGTTGTTATGCGCAGAAAATATGCGCACCAGGTGACACTGCTCCTTCAAGAGGGGCCCCAAAAGTAAATTTTATGGAGTGGAAGGGGCCCTATAAACTCCCAATAGGGTATTTTCACCCGTGCCTCCCAAAAAGCTGTGGGCAACCCTGACTGTGGATATCAATTACTTGAAATTGCCACTACTTTGATGCTCCCAACCTCACACAAAGGTTAGGAACATCAAATTAGCAGTTGTTTTCAAATACTCAAATTAATTCCACTCTACTGTATGTTTTAAGATTACATCTTTATTGTTTTTAGACATTGTGTGGACTTTTCTCAACAATGAGGATTGGTGTATCTGCTTCTTACTATAACAAAAAAAGTGATGAATTTGGCAGTATTTTCAATGAAAATCTTGTTCAAGAGAAGGCTTCTGATGAGAGCTCAATGTCAATTTTGGAACAAAAAGGTGCTGATTCTGATAAGACAACATCAACAGAGAAAGGTACTGATTGTACATTTATTTATTTCTGAGTTTTCAAACCGGTTTCTCATAATGGTCACATGATAGGATGTATCAGCGTGTTTGGTGGACTTAGTTATCATTTAGTTCAGTTTGTTAATTAAGATTGTTGTACTACATGCTGTTACCTTTAACATTTGTATTATACTGTATACAATAAACTATCCAGCTTCCTGTGGCAGAACAAATGATATCCCAGATAGCTAGTTCAACACACCTATACAATAATCGCAAGTGGCAACAAACCAAACTGAATTATTTTTTCCCAGCTCATAATACAGCAACTCCTCCAGACAATGATGTATCTCTTCCTTTGACTTCATGTCAAGTTGATATTCCTCAAACTCCAGATGCTGATCTTCATTCTACTAAAGAGCATCTTTCTGCTGGTTGTAAATATGTAATAGACAACTATGACATGTTTCAGAAAGTACGTACAATGACAGAAATTAATCAGAATAGGGACATCCACTGGGTGAATCATAACAGAGTATCAAACCGAGTTTCTGGTAATCATCTCCAAGACAACACAGCAATTTGTGATTTGAAGAACCTGGATAACTCCAAAGTTACTCCTTCAGTTATTGAACACATAATGCAAAGAAATAACTACATCACACTTATTGAAAGAATATTGGTGTCTTCCATAAGTTATCTCAAATTTTGCAAGGGTATAGTAAATCAGCAAATTCCCCATAAGCATGTCAAGGAGTCTGGAATGAAGTCCAAAAAAGTAAGTCTCCCATTCATAAATAAATTCATTCTTTCCTTAATTATTAATATTGGAAATTAATAATGGTAATAGAACGAATAGGAGTTCAATTAATGCCAAAATCATATAAGTGATTTGTTAATCACACGTATGACTTTTGCATTAATAAAATGACTTCATTCGTATATATCTTCTGTAAAGAAAACAAAATTCATGTTTTATATCCTGAATGCTGATTGGCTAGTTGTAAATACTAGAGTCATAAGTGTTTTTCATTGGCTGTAACCAATGAAATTGCATTATTTGCCACTGATTACAGAATATATATAGTTAATACATTAATTAGCCCATCAATAGTGAGAAAAGCCAGGCCTCAGAATAAAGACACAGTCCTAGCCAGTGTGCGTTTGAGGGGCGTTTGAGGTGAATACCTCTCAAACACGCACTGGCTAGGACCATGGCGCAAGCATTTTGATGATGAATTACGGTTACGCCAAAATCGTTGGAAAATCATAGGAAATATAGACGGATTTTGTGGGGGGTGCTACCCCCCCCAATATTACCTTTACCCCCCCCCCCCCCAACAAAATGTCCACCCCTCCAAAAAAAATTTCAACCCCCAACCTAATATTGGGCATAATAAAAAATAATTAAATAGTCCACTCCAACGTGCAGAGTGTTGATGATACAAAATAAACGTAGGAGTACAGGTACACTCTAATAGAAAAAGACAGTGCAATACTCTGAAACTAATCGCTCCTCACTTGCATTCACTGGTTTATTGGAGCAATTGTAAATTTTGAAACTCTATTATCTCCCCTGAATAGAGTTTGCAGTGCCTTGCATGCAAATAGCTTGCTTGCAAGGAACATTTGGAATTTTTACGAACATTATTTTTAGTTTTTAATTATTTTAGGAAATAGTCTTGCCTAGATTTAATCTTTTCGCCCCAAATATTATTTACATCGGAGTTGCATCATAAATTGTACTCGGATTCAAATGACACAATGTCAATGACTTTATAAATTAAAGTGAAAGTGTATTGGCCTATTGGGTTTACACTTTTACAGGTTCATTTAACTTTAACTCTCTCAAGTCTCAACAGACAATCGGACAGGCCAAATCCATTGATATGACAACTTCAAAAAACGTTTTTTCGATTCTAGAACTCATGATTTTTTTCAAATTTTTCCAGGGATACTTTGTTTTCTGCACTCCAGACTCCCCCTCACGGCTATAGTGCTCTACCCCTAGGACATAGACCTTACTGGGGTTTGGTGACACTTTGTGTTGCTTCAGTCACCTGCTCACTGCTCACCCCCCTAAAATTTCTGGCACCACCCCAGTAAAAAATATGAAAATCCGTCTATGATAGGAAAAACCAAGAAGTCGGGCTTCTGTGTAGTCTATTCTGTGGCCAGGCACAGGGATAAGTATTTTTTTTATAATTAATATCCATACAATAATTATAAACTTCTCTACAGGAATGTCTTGGAATTATGTTTGACGATGAAAACACAACAGATGGCATCGCAAAAGTCCTGACAAAACTACACGGCTACATACCAAAAGCAACAAATGGCCAAAACAAATCAATTTACCACGAAGCTGGCGTTGTGGGCGACCAATTAACTATTGAGAGGGCAGTAAATCGCTTGTTATCACTATCAAATGGGTTCACTCCGGATGAAAGGTTGGAAGGAATACATACCGAGATTGCAGACTGGCATGCCGAGCTTAAATTTCTTTTGGTAAGTCGGATCTTCATAATGCCCAATAACCCATTCAGCAGCAATATACTCTTGATCTTATCTGCAGTCTAACATCACATTATTTTGCTATTTAAATGTCAAGGAGTTGAAGGAGAATTAGTGGGAAGATGAACTAGTATATGCACCCTTTTTTAGGTTAAGCAAATCCAAAGTAGTATTTTATTTAAATTTATATTGTGATTTATAGTTCTTATGGATATCTGTGCATGTTTTTCTAATTTTAGTTAATTTACACAAGAATGTACTCGACAAGTTCTGCTGATGACCAATGTGCGCTCTTCGCAGACAGAAATTTAATAAACAGAAGGAATGTTTCAAGTGATACGAAACAACATGCATACTCCCCAAACAAGCAAATGTTTCTCTTGGCTCTAAAAGCAAGGGTAGTTGCTGCAGGAATGAAGGTTCTCGGTCTTAAGGAATTGAATGGAACCCCGACTAAAGAAAAGTGCTGTAGAACTAAATTTACCAGGGGGGCTCTCTTAACCAGCATGAAGCCCTAAAATCGTAAAAAACGTGACGTCATATGATGACATCATAGATGTTTGAAAATACAGAGCATAAATGCATACCGTAATTATTCGAATAAATGCTGCGGCGTTTATTAAATTTTTGGTGCTCAAGGTGCGGCGTTTATACGAGGGCGGCGTTTATTCAAATTTTGTAACAACAAGTGTGCATTTATTGTTTAATTAAAACTCAACTTCAACACTTAACCCAAAAAACTAAGAATAAAGTTCATATGTTATGAATGCCTCGAATAAACACCGCATCGATGAGAAATAATGCGGTGTTTATTCGAGGGCGGCGTTTAAAATTTTTGCTTGTCCCTGCGGCGTTAATTCGAGGGAAGCGTTTATTCAAGTAATTACGGTAATTATATGAAACATTGAACAAGATAAGGTATTGATTGATTAAGGATGCCATTTTGATTATGCTTCATGAAAAAGTAGTCAAGTTTTGTTTAATAGTGTTCTTAACTCAATTCGATCCGCCAACATTAATTTCCGACGTATATGACGGGAAGATTAAATATTAAAGAACTTCGCGAGTATTTGCAGTAGACATACGAAAATACCACCAAAAAATTAAGCTTGATTGATACTATATATTCAGAAATATTCATATAATTTTATTGTTTCTCGCTCAATTTCAAGCGAATTTCTTACCTTGAAATGATCAATGTGGTGAAATTTATGCAAATGACACATTATCAATTTTGCTGTTGCATTTTGAATGTTCCGCCTGATTCAAATGCTCGTCTTTTTGCTTCTTTTCAACGTATAATAATAGCAAATATACCAAAAGAATCGCCATCTTCCATTCTATAGCTCGGAGCAGTCTCGGGAAATTGCGAAATAATCTAAGCCTATTATGGCAATTCTCGTGATCGGAAAGTGTTCGGCCAACTTCGGACGCCAAATTCTTGGTAAAGCATTACAGTTTCCTGGTAAAAGACTGCAGGAATCACTTCCGGAGTGTTTGTTTACCCTAGATACAGATTTTGATTGGCTTAGGCAGAAAAACAAATCTTTTAGAGCAATTTTCCTGATTATCGCGCACGGGAACGCACGAGCGTTGAAATGTATTGTGTTGTAGTTTTGTTTGAATCGCATTCTGAAGACGTTTTTGGCTTTATTTTGCAAACTGATAGTGCTAGTAATGATGGAATGTCTTCGTATGAAGACAAGTATCTCAACCTGGCATTGGGAGTCGTGTCTGGAGTTTCAAGGCAAGTATTTGTATCATTTCTAGACAATTTCTATTTCAATGTTTTGCCGTTGCCATGGCGTTGTAAATTTATTTGTATTTAGTATGGCTTCACTAGTACGACCAAGTATGTCCTCATATCGCTTTTTTGTGTTGAAATAATCGTTTCATACTGAAATTGACAAATATAAATGGTATTTATTTATATTGTTGACGAAAATTTATGGTGTTTTAGGCATAAAAATCTCTGATTCCTAGGCGAAGTAAAATGAGCCTTGAGCACATGTTTGGTTGTTTGTTACATACATAATAGCCAAGTATTCATACTTATATCTTACTAGTTGGCTCTTATTATAATTTTAAGTGGCACCATGTCTATAAAAGTTTTTATTTGCACTGATGAATATATTGATCCTGTTCCTATCTGCTGTTCCTGTTTCATAGCCTCAGGGAAGTAGAGTTCTGATGAGTCACGAGAACCCACTCACCAACCCAGAGGGAAGGTAGGGGGATGAGTAGAGGTAGAGGGAAGCCCAGCCATTAGGACCTAAGGTTTTGAAAGCTCCCTGTCTAGCATCCCCACTAGGCCCCATAGTACATGACGGATATGATGATCCTGACACCAGGAATGTTCTCCCAGATTTTGCTCCTCACTGACATGTCTGGGATCCATATCGATCAACTGTGAGCTTGAGTTCATTCGGCTCAATGAACTGTGAGCTTGAGTTCATTCGACTCTTTTTTACTAAGGGAATGCTTCAGGAGGTAGTTTCCTGGCCATACCAATACATATGCCCACATATAAATAACTCAAAAGTTATCCCCATATACTAATAAAGAAGGGTCTTGCAGTTCACCAACCTTGAGAGGTTGATTGCCTTTTAGTATAATATGCAGGTTTGCTAAAGGTCGACAGTGAGATTGAAAATTATTGGAGTGTAAAAACCTTATATCATGGTCTGTGGGCAATAGACATAATTTCTCGGGTTAGGTACAAAGCGCTTATGGCGTTTGTGAATATGGTAGATCCTGTACTAAAGACTACAGCAATAAACTGCATCAACAACTGTACCAGCCGTCACAGAATATTGTTGTTGCAGACAAACACTGTCAAATCAAGAAATAGGTTGGGAGTTAGGCAGTTCAT